CCTCTTTCCAACTGAAGTCACTTAGAAAAGCAGGTGGAATTTGAGGAGCAAATATTCAGTCCTCTTCCAGATAAGAACCTGGATTGGAAAACATCACTTCTGCTCACGTCTTGGTGTCCAAATATTAATCACATAGCCAATTCTAGCTGCAAGGGAGCCTACAGATTAACACTTTTTTTCTGGACAGCCTGTTCCTAGCTAAAGCAGTAATGCTACAGGGGAAAGGCAGAGTAAAGACTGGAACATAACAAGCTACACAACATAATCATGTGCTTTATTCCTTTAACTTGTGAATGTCCTAAAAATTCAATATATTTTCTGACTTTAAGTCATCCTCACAGCCAGGTCTGGTGCCACACCCTAGTGACGTGAGAGGCTCAGGCAGGAGGAATCTCAAGTTTGAGGCTAGCCTCAGCAATTTAGCAAGGCCTTAAGCAATTTCGCAAGACCCTGTCTCAAAATAAACAATGAAAAGGGCTGGGGTTTGGCTCAATGGCTAAGCACCCCTGGGTTCAATTCTTCCCCCCCAAATAATCATCCTCATATTCCCAGAATAAAGCCCTTTTAGGAATGAAAATTGTTTTATTGGATTAATACTTGTTTTATTGGAAACAGAATTATTGGATTCTGTTTGGGAGTGCTTTATTTAGGATTTTTGCATCTTTGTATAATAAAAATACATTTGTGGGTGCAAAAAGTAGCAATAACACTGTGTATACTTACATGGTACTTTGCAGGTTTTAAAATCATTTCACATACATTTTTTTGGCTTGAGAATATGTCATCATCAGAAGCTAACTAAAACACAGTTGATGTGAAGTGTGTAAACAGAAAATATCTACAAATAGAACTCTACAAGCTTTTTTTCTTTTTTTAACAATTGCCCAAATCCTAAAGAGCCATCAGTGAGACAGAAGAAAGTTCTGATTATGGGGGAGAGAAGGATGCAGGGGATGGAAGAAAGAGATTTGATCCCATGAACACAGGGAGCCACGTTCACATCCTCCAAGGTGCACAGGGAAGAACATCTAGCACTCTGCTGGTGTTCTGGACATTTTTCATTGTTTAAAAAACCTGGCTTGAATATACAAATAAAGGCTTTCTTGTCATTGAACATTCTTTGGCTTTGGATTCCTTAACTATGCTTACCAAATTAGATTATGGCAGCCGAACACTCTCGTGGGTGAAAGAAGCACTTCAAAACCCAAGATTCCCTTCTTGGCCTGGCACCCAGGTGATATGTGTCCTGTCCACACTTTCTCCCCTAGGACTGAGAGCTTTTACAGCACACACAGTAATTACATAACAGCAATTACCACTCAGAAGGATGAAGTACCTTTGGGAGACAAATAGATGGCAAGCTTGATGGAACTTTTTGAACAAAAAGAGGTGCTCAGATGTCACCGTAAATATAGAATTTCCCAAATAACTAGGACTCTTTTGTACATTTGAAAGGTACAAAATATGCTCTCAGTTAACTTCTCTCCCCTGAACTTTAGAGCCTCTGGTATGTCATAGATGCATACTACATAGCTACTGAGGGCAACATTATCCTTGAGATTTCTCTCCCCCACCCCACCTGGCCCTGGTTCACTCCTTTCCTGCTCACACACACCCACGGGTGCAAATACACTGCAGAAACTGGAACATTCTGCTGAATTCTCCCTGACTCTGTAGCTACATATTCTAAAATGAAGCAAAGGTCAGGAATTGAGAGCTCACATCAATGAACATGTCTCATTTGGGAAAATTAGTTCCTGGAGTAGATTTTTGCTCTGAAATGTATGCATCAGTCAGATGGTAGCTCATCCAAAGCTACTTAACATGTACTGATTTTCTTTCTCTCTCTCTTCCTTTCTTTCTTTTGGAGCCCTAAATTCCTAAACTATTAATAAAATTCACACTTATTTCAATAATAACTTTTACCTTGCATGGTACACAGTCTAAAGAATACTACCCCTGAATCACATCTATTTTACCATCATCAGGCTTGGGAATTAATTATGAATGTTAAAAATGAATAAGGTTGAAGTCCAGATGAACAGACGTGCCCTGCTGTCATCTGCAGTTTGTCTTTCCCAGTGGCTGGAAAATTCACAACATTGGTACAGACAACCCTAGAGATGTCACTAAGCCCTTGAGTTTAAAACAGATGCTTTAAATAGTTCATTATACTTTCCTCTACCGCAAGAGAAAATGTTTTCTCGGATCTCTGAGAATGGATCATAAGTAATTGAAAGCTTTGTGGAGATCCAGAAGTTGATTGCCAGTTTTTAGAGTGCTGAACTGGGGTTTCAAATATACCATCCAGTTCCAGAAACCAATTCTTAACTGTTAGACTCTGTGGTCTCTGAAGTGTAAGTACAAATGGGAAAATTCTAGAGTGGGAGCAGGGGAAGTGGTGAGGAGTGTTTGGGCCACCGGAGAGGAAATGAGTTGAAAGCTGTAAAACTGAAGGCCTGGTGCAGGTTCGGCAGGTCAGCCTCACAGGAAAAAGCCAAGTGTAAAATATGCCCGAATTAGAAGAATTAGGGTGGAAAGAAATCACATCCCAATGCTCCTGTTTTCCACCTATGCATGAGAATTCAGTAAACAGTGTGTTGCTATATTAGATAAATATTTGAATAGAATCTTGGGTGGAGGCAAACTTTTTTTTAATTTGTTCTTTTTAGATGTACATGACAGTATAGTGTATTTGGACATATCACACATACATGGAGTATAACTTTCCCTTCTTGTGGTTGTACACGATGTGGATTTTCACTGGTCGTTTGAACATAGGAAAGTTATGTCTGATTCATTCTGCTGTCTTTCCTATTTCATCCCTCTTCCCTTCCCTTCACTCCCCTTTATCTAATCCAGTGAACTTCTATCCCCCCCCCATTATTGTGTGCTAGCCTCTGCATATCAGAGAGAACAGTCAGCCTTTGGTTTGGGGGGATTAGCTTATTTCACTTAGCTGAATAATCTCCAGTTCCATCCATTTACCAGCAAATTGGAGGCAAATTTTCTAAGTAGAATATCAAAATTGGAAGCCACTAAGCAATCTATTTATGAAATTTATTGAAAAATATAAAACTTTTGTGTACCATAATTAATCCCCAAACACCCATCCTCAAAATATAATTGAATTCTAGAGAGCCTTAAATAAACATGCCTAAAGAATATAAATAAGGAAATCAATGGAAAATTATGATCCTACTGTTGCTTAAATGTCTCTAAAATAAAGGCAGCACCAGGATGAACCAAGCCAGATTAGTGCAAGACACAAAGAAGATCATGTTTCTGTAAAGACAAAACCTGCCAGTAGCCTTAATCCCTCACCAAACCCCAGACCACACTCAGCCATTAGCCAAAGTAAACACTAAAGCAGAAGGAGCCGCAGAATCCTCAGTAAATTCTGCAAAGTTGGAATTCAAGCTGTGAGTTTGAGTCATTCTCGGAAACAATGTCCAAACCCAAACACTCTGTGGCTTTATGATTTTGCAATTGTACCAATGTAAAGTTCGTAGGAATTTTTTAGATATGTAATTGATGTAGCATGCAAGATACCTTTGTGTGCAGTTTTTTTTTTTTTTGGTAATGATATATTAAGTATTTCATAATCACAAATCAGTGGTTCTAACCTAGTTTGCTTTTAGAATGTTTGTTCAGCCTGAGTGAAATATCATCGTGGAATGTAGGTTTGAAAACCTGCATAAAGAACCAGATACAATGAAAGGCCTAAGTGGCTTCTAAGAGGCTTGCAACACCCTGAGCCAACATAGTCTGGTTTCATCTGCCTGGCTGACCTCAGCATGTGCATAGGCCAGCTTTTAGTAGGGTTTAATTTTGTCCTGAATTTGCAGCATTCTAATTGCATATTAGTTCCCTTTAATTTGTAGTTGCCTCAAGTAATGGATTGCCCCAAATGGAGTGGAGCTTACATCTTTCTGGTGGATTTAAATTAGGGTGATTCTTGGGAACCTATCTGGTAAAACTGACATTCTCTTCTATATATTATCTGCCACAATGACAGGTTGGGTTGGGTCCTTTGAATCTGGTGTCTTTTCCTGCTTAAATCCACCCTCCCACATAGAGATCCCAGAACTCCTCGCCAAAGAGCTGCCCCTTACACTGTCATGAAGCATGGGGACAATGACCCACATAACTCAGACTCAGTTACTTCAAATTGTCCAAATAATAGGAGCAATGTTGTAGGTGTATTGGATAAAAATGTTTTTAAAAAATTCGAGACTGTTTTTTTCTTTGCTTGGGATGAGGTTGCACAGCTGTGTCCAGTGAATTAGGTTAAAATAAGCAGAAAATCGCTCTGAGCCAATATTTTATGTTGGCAGATCATATCAGAGGTCTTTAAGAAATTTTGGTTTGGGGTTGAGCAGGTACTCACAAAGGAAGAAAATTGCTTCGGGAACTTTTGTTTTGTTGTTTTGTTATGGTTTAGGTGTTGTTGTTTATTGTTGTTTTGGGTTGGGTTGGGTTGGTGCAAGGGCTGTACCACTGAGCGGCACCTACAGTCCCTGGAAACGGTACACGGAGATCTGTGCGTGGGTAATCCCAGCGTCTGTGCAGGGGAAAGGAACAGAGCACTCAGGATGGTGGCATAACACTGGACATGTCACCCTTTGCCATGGGTTGTAAAGTGCCCTTTGCCCTCCTCAGGAGATCTGGAGAGCGCATCACATAACTGTAAACCAGGCTGGAAGGAAAGGGTCCACCTGTACCAGACCCAGGGTCAACATCTCAGAGTGGAAAAGATGGCCTGATTATGGCCTCACTGGTACCAAATCATGATTTCAACTTAAATTCTTTTTTCGTGTGTAAGACAGCCGCGTCTCTAGGTAGCTGAAGAAAGAGAATATGACTCAGTTTCCAGCTGTTAGGTGTTCCCAGCCCCGCCAAGAACGCTTAAAAGCAGTGTCCCCTTGGGTTTGCATGGTACTTCATCCAGATGTTTCCACCTCACCCCAACTGCTGCTTTCTTCCCCCTCTCTACCCAGGTGTCGAAGACATCGTGGCCATTATGATTCCTGAGCCAAAGGGGAAGGAGATCGTGAGCCTGCTGGAAAGGAACGTCACTGTGACCATGTACATCACCATTGGGACCCGGAACTTGCAGAAATATGTGAGCCGCACTTCGGTTGTGTTCGTCTCCATCTCCTTCATTGTCCTGATGATCATTTCCCTCGCATGGCTGGTCTTTTATTATATCCAGAGGTTTCGATATGCAAATGCCAGGGACAGGAACCAGGTGAGTAGCCCACATTTTTTTAAATAATAGTAACTTTCACAAATTCTTGCAAAAGCAATCGGCATTACTGTATAAACTTTGAAAGATCACAGAAAAGTACCAAGACAAAAACAAAATTACATGTTATACCTCCACTCAGCATAAACATAATCCATATGTCCTATATCATTTTCATATATTTTTCAAAAAGACATATTTTGATGTTTTTCTGGTATTGTTATGTAAAATAGAGATAATTGTCTCAAATCCTGCTGCTCATTTTTTGGATAATAATTTAACTGGGCAGAGAATAAATGGTGAATGAGGTCATGAACAATGATATGTTAATAGGCAAATAACACATAGGCTTATGTATTTTAAAAAAATTATAACACATTTAACTCTGTACCCTTCTCTCTCATTTCATCTTGGAGATTATCTCAGAGGTGAATTTGTATTGACAGACCATGCTGCCTTCTCATTTCTGATGACTACATAGTGTTTCAAAGTCTGCATTTTTCACATTTATTTAGCCAGGTCCCATTAATAGACATTTTTTTCTCTTACCAAAAAAAAAAAAAAATGTAAACGTGATGCTAACCACATTTGTGAGTGCATTTATAAAGTAAATCCTAGAAGTTTAGTGATTAGACCAAGGGTTTGAGTAGCTCTAGCCAAGATTTTGGATAAAGACCAAGATAATAGATTTTGTTTTCTATATCATCATATCACACAGTTGTCCCCGTTCAGATGATAAGTCATGTGGTTACCATATGTTTTGAGTGAAGGAGAGGAATCAAGGATGCAATTAGGTCAACTCTTGGGGCATTGACTGGAAGGGAAAAGACAGAAGAAATTAAGATCCAGAGTGTCGGAGAGCCAAGAAACTGAGTTTGACAATGTTAAATTTAGAAGTCTACTGGATGTCGAAGCAGGGATTCCCGGTAGGATTTTCTTTTTCATTTTGCAGAGCTGGGATGGAACCCAGGGCCTCACACATGCTAGGCAAGTGAGCTACCTCTGAGCTCCATCACCAACCCTGCCAGATAGGTTTTTTAATATACAGGCAGGAGAGAGGAAGGAGCAAGAGATGGGAACATGGGAGTCATCTGTCAATAGATGCCCTTCAAATTGTCAGGCAGGTGGAGCTCACCTGGAAGGGGTGTGTATACCAAGAGAAGAGGTCTGAAGCCAGAAGCTGAGATACTCAAATATGGCCTTACCTCCTCCCCAGTCTATCTCCATGGATTATATAATTCTACATATTTATTTGATTTTCTTCCTAGTTCTTACCACTATCCAAATGCTTCCTACCTGAAACCTCCTGGCTTCACACCTACCTTCTGAGGGCACAGAGGCTCACTGAGGGAGGAGGCTGGTTTGCAGAGACCTGGCACAGCCTGCCTCCATCAGATCCATGGCTCCCTGTTCAGCATACCTACCCTGAAGCACCCTCTGCACTCCCAATGCTTGTTCAGCCCATTCTCTTCTCTTGAGTCCAGCCTCCTTTGGGTGCTTGTTCTGTCAGATGACCTGGGGTACGACTGTTCCAGGCCCTCTGCACAGAGCCCAGGAGATGGATGGCTCCTATTCCCCACTGCTGCACAAGCCCTGTGACAGCTGAGAGCCTGTGGAAGCGTCTCATGTGGCTGACCATGCAGGTCTGTTTTGAACACACATAGGGCCTTTCAGAACCAGTTTCCTAATGTCATGTTCCAGCCCAGTGAAATCTCATCTCTGTCCAAGCCCAGAGTACTCTGTTTCATAATCAGACATAAAAAGGTGACACCCCCAGGCAGCAAAGGAGAGTCTGGAATATTATAAAGGTTGGGATTTCAGGAGCTAAGAACACTTAAAAGTGTGAAGGTTTGCATATAACTGTGGTTTTGGTGTAAAGTAGAATCAAACTCTTGCAGAGGACAAGGTCATGGGCAAGAGGACAATGGGGTCTAGTAAGTGAGCAGGGCCCTGTGTAGTTAGGAATTCATCTGACACTTAAGGGTGGGAACAGAAGCCAAGCAGGACAGAGCAAAGCAAGGCAGGGCAGGAGAGGAAGGCTGGGGAATGGTGCTGAGGGATGGGACCCATTGGGTCACACTTTCACCTGTCAAAGGAGCAGGGCATGAGTACAGCCTCCAGGATTATATGAGAAGAGAAGTTGGTTCCTTCTACTTTTAAGTTAAGGAAAGCCTCCATAATGATTATGGAAAACATTTTACTGGCTGGGCACAGTGGCACATGCTTATTATCCCAGCAGCTCGGGAGACTGAGGCAGGAGGATTGTGAGTTTAAAGCCACCTTCAGCAAAAGTGAGGCACTAAGGAACTCAGTGAGACCCTGTCTCTAAATAAAATGCCAAAAAATAGGGCTGGGGATGTGGCTCAGTGGTCGAGTGCCCTTGAGTTCAATCCCTGGAACCCTCCAAAAGAAGAAAACATTTTACTAGCCATTTAACCCATGTCCTGGTGACTTAAATACCATGACAGATCTCTCTTTCTCTCCTTACATATCCTCTGGATGTCCCTTGTGAGTGGTTTAAGGAAATATCCCACTGATGCACCAGTGTGGGCTTCTACACTAAATAATCTGGAATGCTCTCAGGTGAGCCCTGAGAACCCACGTTCTCCAAATGGCTGTAGATGGGAAACAGAATTGAGAGGCAAAAGTCACCCACTTGTAATTCTGCTCTTGTTGAGAATGCTCACTGAAGTCTCAGGGTATAGATTTAGAACTTAAAGGGACAATGACTTTGATAAATCATTTTTAACAAGGACACATAACCAGGTTAGTGATTTCAAGTCAAAATGACTTCTATCAGATCAAGGCACCTCAATAGCATTGGGACACAGAGAAGACTTAGCCCATGAGGAGGCTTCTTGGAGGATGCCAGGGTTCGTGTTCATTCTACCCACCTAATGACCTACATCTAGCAACCTGTTCTTGAATTTGGAGGTATGTTATAGTGTGGATGTGAGGTGTCCCACAAAAATCTCCTGTATTAGTGCAAGAGTGTGAAAGGGTGCATGTTCCCTATGGCCCCTTTTCCTTTCCTCTCTCTGCTTCTTGACGCCATCACAAGCTGAGCACCTCCCCTCCTCTGAGATCTTCCCTTATGATGTGCCGCCTCACCTTGGACACGGAGCAATGGAGTTGGCCATCCGTGGACTGAGACCACTGAAACCATAAGCCCCCAGTAAACTTTTCCTCCTCTAAGTTATCGTTGGGTGTTTTGGTCACAGTGATGCAAAAGCTGACTGAAGAAAGGGAGGCCGGATTCTCAGCAGATTCCCTGATCCTGAACACCAGAGTATACTACAATCCCAGATGCGTACCAGGAAGTTGATGAGGCATGCACATCTCTTTCCCCGGATGTCTTATTCCTCCTGCCCTTCACTTATTCCTGTCCTGCTTATGAAAACCCTACAGAATGGCAAAGTGAAGCCAGCAAGCAGTGTTCCTCCGTGGCCATAAAAGCCTATCTTCTGTTTTTCATGCCAGGGATCGAACCCAGGGAGCTTAACTACTGAGCCTCATCCCCAGCCCTTTTTTATATTTTATTTACAATCAGGATCTCACTAAGTTGCTGAGGCTAGCTTTGAACTCGTGATTCCTGCCTCAGCCTACAAGCCACTGGGATTACTGGAGTGCACCACTATGCCCAGCTAAGCCTCTCTTCTTACCATGATCTAGAATATTGTCTCACTATCATCTCAGACACAAGGACTTAGTCTGTGCCATGAAAACCACACAACTCCCAAACATGGTAGCTATTTCAAATTCAGGCGTATTAGATCAACTAAGTGGGGCTCTTTTTTGATTTTCCTAGACAATATTGCCTTTGAAGGTGATCCAAGGAAACCAGACCTGTTTTGATCTGTTTTTTTGTTTTTTGTTTTTTGTTTTTAATGTGAGGCCTGGTAATGATATGGAGCAAAGTTTTCTTGGAGGATTTCTCTCTCCCAGGGGGACACCTTTGCATGGCTCATGTCCCTGTGATCTCTTTTGCACATATTGGTGAAGTTACCTTGGAACAAAAGAAGTGATGGAATTTAAAACAAACTAAAAATTCACAGGAAAAGAGAAAGAAAAGGAATATGCCAAGTATCAACCACCAAGGGAGATTTGAGGCAGAGAAGCATCTCCTAAAGAATAAAAACTAAAATTATCCTTGAGAGTGCTCTAGAAGAACGTGCCAAGCCCTCAGGGGGAAGGACACATGCTGAATCCCGGAAGCATTTAGTGAGCCTTCTCCTCTGCTACAGCTCACACAGAAGAGGCTTAACCTCACATTGGGAGCACACTTGACAGCTCCAAGCCATCGTTCTGTGAGACCATCATAGCCATTGATCATCTAGTTCTATGTCATGGAAACTGATGAGACTTCGGTCACCTTAGCCAGTCCTGGAGGATCGTTGTTATGTAGGAGAGCTATGAGGAAAAGGTCTGTGTCACATGACCACATGAACTCCAAGATGACCAGGACCCAATCCATTTTGTTTTTTTTTTTTTTTTTTTTTTTTGATAGTGGCCTCCCTTCACCTAGAATATAAGAACATTTCATTGTTTTTCCCCTTGGTGATGGTGATGATGATGGTTAACATAAGCATAAAATACAGTTGTTGGGGCAAATATGACACCAAGTCATCCCATCATATGAGATGGGGGAGGGTCAGCTCAGTTTTGATGCCGTCCTATGGATGAAAAGGTGCGGTGAATCCCCTCCCCCATCATAGGGCCTGTGTGACACTGATAGGAGCATCACCAGTTTCATGAATGAAAAGTTTAATGTGATGTGGGAACCTTCGAAACTGGTGACCCAAGACCCAAAGGAAATTGTTTTTTTTTTTTTTTTTCATTCCTCCATACAATGAAGAATGAGCAGCCATGGAGAAAGATGGCTGAACAAAAGGCCGGAATGCACAGTGGAGCGGTCAGTGGGGAGTGTTCAGATCCTCTGTGGATCTTCTGTGCACACTCCTTCCTCCCAGGTATAGGACAGGACACTCTGGAGTGAGGGCCTTCAAGGGAAACTGAGAGTGGCACCCCACCACCCCAGGTTTCATGGCTTCCTTCAGGAGAGGGTTCTAGCTTCTATGACTCACCTTGGAGATGGAAATCTGTTTTCTTCCACTCATTTCTAGAAATTGGAGGGCAGGAGGACAGAAAGAGACTTTGTCCTGAGGCTGCTTCTGGGGCCTCCAGTTTCCTTTAGTTCAAGGTACTGAGCAAGCCACTGGGGTATCATTTTCAGAGTCCCAGAACTGTATTTTGGTTCCGGATTTTTTTTTTTTAAATAACCTTCATTGAATTTCTAACAGAGCAGATGAAGAGGAAACTGTCTTCCTTTTTAGTTTCTTAAACATTTGGAAGATCACTAATTTATGTGTCTTGAGTTGAACTGGGGTTTGTCATTGTTTTTCATCCTCACTGGTACTTATGGAGGACTTTTTCTGTTAATGTGTGATTCTGCTTTTGTTTTCCATAAAGCATTTTATCTTCACCATTGTCGAGAAACCAATAACCTTGGAAAATATTTTCTTGTACCTGATTAGATCAAATTAATAGCTACATCTGGTTACCAAGATGCCTAGTCCTGACCATTGTTAGTAAAAAGTGTGATTTGGATTTGGTTGGGTTGGAGAACAACCATACATCCCCATCCAAAACAAAGCGCTGACCCAAACCTTTAGCGGTCCCTCATTCCCCTGAGGTGGTCCCTAACTCTTCCATTCTGCATTTCTGAAAATCACAAAGGAAAGCTTCTGTTTATGATTGACTTCAGGTTTTATGTCTAGATTCTCTGCTTGGGCCCTGGGCAAGACTCAGTTTGAGCAGGGCCTGTCGTTTTCTTCCTCCTTTATTCTTGGCACAGTTAAAAAAAATCCCCCAAAAGAAGAGGTCAACAACAAAAGCAACAACTACTTTATCTGGGTCGTTTCATTAAGAATATTTATGTTTGCATTTATTATCTCTTTAATCTGCATTTTGGAAATCCAACACTAGTGTGAAAATTGTTGGAAGTAGAACTTTCTTTTAAATGTTCAAAACTTGTTTTAAATGTTGAAAGTGGGACGTTTTTCCTACATATAATTTTAATGTCACTTAGGAAGAATTGAGACATACTGACAATATTTGGCTACATGCAAATGCATGTGGCATTTTTGAAAACTTTATGGGGCTTCTCCTCTAATTTTGCTATTCCAGAACGCTTTCAAAAAGTAAATAAATAAACAATGCTACCTAGCCCCATGATCATGTATTTCTCAGAAGCTGATTTTCTTATCTTCTTCAGGCAGCTGGGTATTCCCCCAGCGACAGGACAAACATTTATAGCCTCCATGAGTCTGGAGAATTCCATCTTTCTGCTCCTCAAAGGAGGCAAATGCGTGCCATCTACCCATAACCTATGGAATGAGGCTTGATTCCAGGACCTTCAAGGAGCATGAAAGGGAAAAGACACCGTTGTACCCTTTTTTACAATGGTTAAGGAAAATATGTCTTCCTGCCTTTGTGAATCATGTGATTTTTTTCAGGACTCCCAAAGAGAAACACCTTGTAGAAACATTGAAGAGAACCTCATGACTTTCTCTTTTGCGCTAGTCTCTAAGTCTTAGCTCTACTGACTTGGGAAGCCTGTCTCCTAAAGGACTGTATTCTTCATTAAGCACCTTAACCTCTCTTGGACTCAGTCATACAAATGCCACTAATGGAATTCATCTTTCTAATTCCACAACCATTAACTTCCCTGTTAGCCATAAGCCTTGATACATTAATTTTAGCTTACTCTACATTTCCGGAATGGACTTACCTCTTTGGGTGGTAGTGGTGATTCCTCTCCTTCCTCTTCCTCCCATTCCTTGAAATTAAATTATGTGTTCACATTTAAGAAGCCATCTTTCATTTGCTAAAGAATTGTTCTAAATGAAAATTAAATTTTGAAAACATCATTTCTAGTTCACCTGCTTTAAACATACTTTGGCTTCAGTTGAGTATAAATCTATGACCCTGTTTGAAAACACTGTTTTTTGCTTAATTACTCTGCTCATCCTTTGAAAACAAAAACAATTTAAGTAATTGAATTGGGTACAAACATTATAGAATACCAATTAAACAGTTGCAAAAATATCTGAGTTCTTGGCTTAAAAGCGATCAACATTTGTTTACTTAGGGCCCAGATTTCTTGGTGTTAATGTAGTATTCTGTAGGTTTGTGACATTTTCTCCCAGTGACCAGGAACACTTTCTCAGTACTTTTCATCCACGGCCCAGATTGCAATAGTTGGCACCTACTAGTTGAGACAAGCTGGGTTTGCTGGGGCTAGAAATTCAGCTTTGCTTATGTACAACACAAATCACTATAGTTTATCTGTAAATTTTTTCATGAACTGGCTAAATTTCTCAGGTTGTTTTCCATGCTTAAAAAAAACCTATTGGCTTAATATTTTATTCAATCATATTTTATGGAATTTCTACTAGATGATAAGCTACAGAGGACAAAAATGTCTGCATTATTTTTCCCCACTACCAATTTTCTAAAACCCAAACCTGTGCTTGGCACAGAATAAAAGATCAAAAATACATGTTAAATAATCAAGTGCTGCTGATTGAAGGCAGCTTTATTCTATGAGCTGGGGACATGGTAAAAAGCAAGAATATACACAGAGCTCCTGTTGAAGAGCTTACTTGAGGGAAATATAACAGAGATTGATCATAAAAACAAATATCAAATACCCAGTGTGACAGTACTGCAAAGCAGAGGTGTGTCGAAAATGTGCAATGAGGGTCTAGAGTAGAGGGATCTTGCTGGGGGATCCCTGAAGAATGACCTAAGATGTAAGGATGACTAAGTAGTAACCAGAGGATAAGGAGAAGAATAGGCCACGTGTTTACTTTCCCCTCAGTTACTTTCTCTCTCTCTCACTCTCATGTCTACCTTTAGTAATTATCATTGCAGACTCTTCCTAAGTTTTCCGGGTACCTTAGTGTGCTGGCTACTCATGGACTTTTGCGTAAATCTCAAGTGTGTCTAGCCCTCCTTTTAGGAAACAGCCAAAACTTTGTCTTCCATTAAAAATGCCAGTGTTATTTTAGAAACCAAGGATGAAAATCAAAGAGAAACTGAATTAAAAAGAACATCACCTTTTCTGCTTATTCACTTTGCTGTGTGCTAAGGAAGTGCCTTATGATATGTACTTTAAATAGACTTTAATTGGTTGGTCATTAGGTTGGATGGTTCGTTGCTTGGATGGATGGGTGGGTGGGTGAACGGGCGGATGGATGACTGATTAACTGGCTAGCTGGATGTTGGTTGATTGGCTAACTAATTGGATGATTAGCTGACTAGAAGTCAGATTGTTTTTTGGTTGGCTAACTGGCTGGTTGATTGATTGGATGGTTGTTTAGTGAATAAAGGTGAATGAAGGTGGTAGATTAGCTGTGATGTTAAAGTCAGACCCGATTTTATTCAGTTTCAAACTTTCTCTGTCTCTAAAATATTGAAAAATTTGCCCATGCTCTGTAAGTCTTCATTCTTCATAAAAAAAAAAAAAAAAAAGTTCTTTTCTTACAGGCTATAGTAAGGATTAAGGCAACATTACTTATAAAGTTTTAGCAAAGTACCTAGGATATACTAAGCATTCACCAATATCAGTTCACTGTTTTTAAGAGAAGAATTGGCCTAGGACGTAGCTCAGTGGCAGAGGGCTTACCCTGCAAGCATAAAGCCCTGGGTTCAATCCCCAAAACCACAAAAAATAAATAAGAGAGAAAGAAAGCAGTTTGAGTGTTTAAACGATGACATTGTTAATTTTAATCATTCAAATATGTTTCACTGCTACAAATATTCATATATTATAAAGCAGAAGTACATATACCCAAGATGGATTGAAAGCATGTAGAAAACTAATGGCACACTAACTAGCGATTTTCTTCCTTGACAGATTAAAATTGAATTCTCCTCCCCCACTCTTCCATTGCCCTCTTATTACATTATTACAGGGTTCATTAGGAAAGTAATTACTCTGTTAAAAAAAGGGGGGCTTGGGAGCTGGGGTTGTGGCTCAGTGGCAGAGTGCTTGCCTAGCATGTGTAAGGCACTGGGTTTGATTCTCAGCACCACATATAAATAAATGAATAAAATAAAAGTCCAAATCAAGGTCTAAAAAAATATTTAAAAATAAAAAAATTTTAAAGGGGCATAATACATTCTTTCTTCACATGGATGGTAGTGGTTTACCCAGATCTTTGCTTTGTAATTATTTGCTAACCTGAACATTGTTTTTTTTATGTATTTTTAATATATACTCTCACACCCATACATAAGGGAAGTAAAATTGACATGAAAATTTGACGGAATAGGATCAAACAGATTGAATTTAAACCTAGGTTAGGTCTGCATGAGCAAATGGAAGGGAATATTAAACAGTATCCCTGATAGTAAAAAATAGGAGATGAAGTTTATTCTAAACTCTCTAGATTGTCTCTGTGTTACAGACTGAGTAGTTTAGGGTGGCAAATACTGAATACTTTTTGTCTTGCAAACTGCACTGAAGTTACTCAAGAGCAGGCTCTTCCTGCATCATTTGCTTTGTGTCTAACACAAGGTGGAACCAGATTCTCTTTCACAGACCTGGTCAGCACAGCCTCTCTGCACAGATGCCACTGTGCCATCTCTTCCAGCCATCATTGTTAACATTCATGCCAGGTGTGCATGATTTCAGAGACAGCGGTCCTGATTTATTAAATGCCATCAGAAATAAAGTCAAGAATTACACATCTCCATTACTAACAAGTAGCTTTTGGTGTTTTCAGCGCCGACTGGGAGATGCAGCAAAGAAAGCCATCAGCAAGCTCCAGGTCAGGACCATCAAGAAGGGTGACAAGGTAACAGCCTCTTTTCTTTTTGGTGGGAAACTATTCAAAGCAGTTGCTCTCCTTTGGTTTTCTGACAGAGTAGAAGAGAGTGAAGGATGGAAAAGGGAAATACGTGCTTAAAGTCGTCCTGTAAGCATCTGATACGTGCCCTTTTTTTTAGTCTGAAGGATAGATGTGCTATTAGTATTATATGCTATTAAATATTATTTAAAGCAGTTTATGAAATGCATTCAGTAGGACAAAAAACCCATTTGCTACAGAATATGAGAAATGGAAAAGTAAGTGTACAAGAAAATGGATAAAGCCAGGATGACATTACTGCACAAATGCATTACCTGAAACAGGTAATGGAAATGGATACTAAATAAGGTCGGGGCTTTCCAGCAACCAGTGCAAAGAAGGAAACAAAATTCAATATTCAAATGATATTTGACTGCAGTGTCCCACAAGATAAAAAAAACAAAAGAGTTATTTCCAGTATTTTGACCTGAAAAAGTTTGTCCAGTAATCCTCGCAGGGAAGATAAAGCTATGTGCAGAGCTCTGTTCTACACTCATGTCTAGAGTCTAAACACAAAAAGTATATCAGTTCCTATGAAATTTAGTATTCAGGACACCCCAATATCATTGTAACAGTCTCCTTCACTGTAAAATCATGGAATAAAGCCAGAAGCAATCATAGCATCATAAGAAAGGACAGGAAAAAGTACAGTCCAGGCTTGCAGGCCTTTAAAGGTCTCTTTGATCTCCCAGGAGATGTTTAGATCAATGGATTACAACACAGTTCGAAGGACTGGGGCTCCTTGGAGCATTGTAAGGGATCCACAATTCCACATGTGTAGCAGCTATTGACTGTAGTCTGAAGGATTGATGTGCTATTACTATTATATGCTATTACTTTTTAACTCTCTGAAAACACTATTGGGTGCATTAAGATAAATTCTTTCAAAAGCATTCCTAAATTTGAAGTCCATTTTGATCATTCCTTTTTCCTCTTCAATCAGAGAATAATAAAAGTCCAAGGGCTATGACATAGTAATAAATTTTTGAGGTATTAAAAGAAATTTATGTACTTGAAAAAAATTAAAAACATTCTTTTGTGTTTCTGTTTAGTTTATGTATTAGATTACAGAGGAATAGGTGGATTAAATATCATTCAGATAGTTCTCCATAAATGTTATTTGTTATCCTCAAGATTCTGATATGTCACCTCTCCTTGTAATTGATAGCATTATTAGTAAAAGTACATGAGGAAATGGTTTTCCTCACTAAAGCACTTGCAGTGGCACCTAGAAATACAAAGTGGGGTTGGAAAGAATGCCAACTACACCGATAGCCAGTAAATTATTGATGAAGAAAACTAGCAAAGGCTGTTGAAAGCCTGGCTCCAGACAAGCTGTCCTTTGGTTTATTTGGTATTTACTCACGAAGCCAGGAGGGTGGTCTCATCTGCACTGCTCCTGTTGCAGGAAACAGAGCCGGATTTTGACAACTGTGCAGTTTGTATTGAAGGATACAAGCCCAACGACGTGGTCAGGATCCTGCCCTGCCGGTGAGTGACTGGCTGCCTGCCCTGGATGGCTGGTGTGTGGAGAGTGCCTGCTGGCCACCCTGGCTTGGACCCGCCGGCCTTGCTGGGCAATGTCATGGGCCTCCGTGTTGCCAGCTGCACGTGGCAAGCATGCCTTCTTTTCTGGTAACCTTAGTCCTTAAAAAGGCTTTGGCTTACTGGGCACAGTGGCACATACCTGTAATACCAGCAGGTTGGGAGACTGAGGCAGGAGGATTGTGAGTTCAAAGCCAGACTTACCAAAAGCAAGGTGTTAAGCAACTCAGTGAGAACCTGTCTCTAAAATAAAATATTTTTTTAAAGGACTGGGTATGTGACCCAGTGGTTAAGGCCCCCTGGGTTCAATCCTCAGTACAATCAATCAATCAATCAGTCAATCAATCAATAAAGGCTTTGGTTCATGGAATTATATATATTTTCCTGATCCCCTTTGCATCAAAAGGAGGATAGCCTTATGATCTGGACCCTCTTGATACAGAACCTGCTGATGTGAATCCAGATATGAGTTTTCTTGAAAAAAAGAAAAAGCAGCTCTCTCTTGCTCAGAATCAGTTCTGCTAATTTAATTAAAATAATTCTTGAAAAATGTTTTGTGGAAGATCATAAAGGCTCAGCCATCAGAATATAGTCAGGAGTAAGTACAAAGCCAAAAGCAGATTCCATTTCTCTTCATTTTTTTTTTAACTAACAGAAAGTGAACATGACAATCAAATTTTCCCCAAATTTTGAAATTTAGAAGAAGAAGCAGGCATGTAGAGCTGGGAACGCTCCCCAGGCAATCCTCACGTAACCCTCCTCATCCCTCTGCCTAATTGAAATTCACTGTGAAGGTGTTGGAATTCTTTTTAAATTGTTAAAATCCAATCAGTTTAAATACTCTAATTAAATCAAGAAATTTAAGGTTTCATAAAAGCCATCCTCCTTAATTGAAAATCCTTTTTAGTATTTTTGTATCAGTGCAAGCATCCTAAAAATAAAAATGGAATTATGCTTTGATGAGGAATTCTTCACTTAAAAGGAATGACTTTAATTCTTAGTGAGTTTTAAAGTAAATAACATAGAAAAACACACCACAAAGATATTCATCAATCCATTTGTTCTTGAAACAATGCAAATTTTAAGAGCTATTTATTGGAAATACAAAAGAAAGAAAATATGGCTTTAGAGGATTTGGTCAAATAATCTCAAAATAACACAAAAGGACTGGATACCCCAACTGATGCAGAAACTCCCAAAGGGAATAGATGTTTCTCAAAATGTTCTTAGGCAAACTGATCATTACACAAATGGGCATTAGGAAAATCCATCCAGAGCCCCAGGTTTTGTTTATAGATGCCCGTCTGCCTGTGGGACAAAATCATAAACAGGGACACATGGAAGCTTGGTAGTTCCTCTGTCTGAGGTTGCTCCATGTAAATTCTTTCTACACGCTACACCTCATGTCTACTGGATGACTTCCAGGAACAAGGGCAAAGAATGACACTGAACTATGGAAAACCTCCCAGGGTGACGTCTTTCATCTCTGCGGCATTTTATTAAGGATTTGTAAAGCCCTGTGGTTATAAGTAAGTCCAGTGCTTGTCTTGACTTTCCTACTAGGAGACTGCTTAGAGCCCTATGAAGGTACTACTAATAAAAAATAACCCAAGCCAGTTAAACAGCTGCTTTTTTCCTGAGAATCCTAAGAACTTTACAATTGTAATTAAGAAAATCTGTGTTAAAAATTATATGTATGCATATATTGCATTGCTTTAGTTATACAGTCATACAGCATAAAATAATATATTCATTTAGAGCTCCATCATGCATGAATTTCATGTTCCTCTCTGCAATTGCTGGAGGCTACATAATAGCCAACACAGAGTTGTACCACAATTTAATTTACTATACCCAGTTTGGGAACATTTCACTGGTTTCAGTTTCTAATTATGACAAATTACATTGCTTTAATGGTATTTAGATTTTTATGTTGTTCCAGACCTCCTTTTATAGTGTAATTTTTTTGGAAATATTCATCAAGAAAAAGTAACATTTAATATTTTCCATAAAGAAAAAGGACTTCAGGAAATTTCAGTTTATTCCCACTGGCGCTTTCCCTAGGAATATTAGTTTCTCCTACATTCTTTTCCTTTTCAGTTTGGCTTTAGGCTCCTCCTTTTTACCTGGTTCTTTGGTTCTCAGCTCATTCCTTAATTCTTTTTGCTTCAAGTTCCTTAGCACTCATCTATTTTTTTTTATTTCCTTATTGAGCATCCTTCTTTAAATAACAAAACACACCTCATTACCAAACACAAGTTATAGTTAATTACTGTTTGAGCTTCACTAGTCACACATACGTATTCTTTAAATAGCTCGTGCATTTCTTTCCATGCTGATATTCAAATCAAAATATTTTTATGCCTGTTGCTGGTTCCTGCCAGACGGTTTTCACTAATGGATGTTATCAAACAAATGTGGAGACATTTGGTTTTTGCTAGATAATTTCCTCTGGGGTGTTATTAAACCTTTGCTCCCATGAACACCAAGGTCTCCCTTTCCTATTATTTCCAGGCTGACTCATCCACAGCATTCTTTGCATCTCTTTGGAGTAAAAAATGGTTTCCAAACAATGTCCCAGTGTATCCAGTCCTTTCTCTCAAATTTTGTCTGTAGCCTCATAACCCTTGACATGCTGGGTGCATCTCATTTAGGATGTTTTTCCAAATCACCCAGGTTCACACTTTTGCACAGCATTTTCCAACTCATTCTCTTATCTCTTTCCAAGACCCCTGTACAAATGATGATAGTTAGTCAATGCCCTCCCCTCCTCATTTGTGGTCTTGGTGGTTATTAAAGTTACACTGTGCACATGCAAACCCGTGGCTCCTTCCTGCTGACTCTTCCTTCTTTCAGTCCCTCTCTAGCACTCAAAGAGGAGTCTCCTTGGGCTGAAGTTGTGGCTCAGCAGTAGTGCGCTCACCTAGCACATGCGAGGCCCTGGATTCCATCCTCAGCACCACATAAAAGTAAATAGATAAAATAAAGGTATTGTATCCAACTAAACTAAAAAATAAATATTAAAAAATACAAAAAGAGGAGGTGCCTTGGTGTAAGCTTGGACATGCATGCACAGTGTAAGGCACAGATCCACAGCAGGACACCGAGTATGTCTGGTGGCATGGGTCTAACTTGTGTGCTTTGGATTTGATCCTAACACACTGCTAAGGCATTTTCCAAGAAACTTTGGTTTGCTCCATCATTAAGCTTTTGCTAGATTTTAAGGCTAGATTTTTTTTTGTGATGGGTTAATATCCATGATTATGTTTTTAACAATATTTTATTGAAGCTTTGTTGTCTTCCTTTGTCTGGAGAATAAGTTGGGCTCTCTGTTCCTTCCATGGCTTTTATCTTATTGTATTCCCACTGTTCTTCAATAATTATTCATTTCTATTTATCCAATTGCAAACACACAGTGTCTGAAAAAGAATGTGAATTCCTTGGGCAGACCAAAAGTTCATGTTTGCCATGTTTTAAAAAAACCAAAGCAATATTTGCATTTCTTTCCAACAATCTACAAAATGTTTTTTCCAATCTCTAATTTATCATATATCATATCACTCATTTGTGCAAATATTAGTTTCTACTACATTCTTTCACTTTGATCTGGAATAATCTCCTCCACAATTGAAGAAATACTTAAAAGCTACCTAGTAATAAGCAGATCTTTATGAAAAACTTTGTAGCAACTAAATGCTTCCTTTGGAACAACAAATATTTTATAGCAGCTGTATTTCAGGAGTAGTAGAAAGTACCAGAAATGAAAAGATAAATGGCATAGTTCATGCTCTAAAGGAAATAGTCTAATGGGAAAAAAATTTCAATAAGTAATCAGAATACAGAATGATATGTGCAACTATAATAAAAAATTATAGAAAATTTGCAAAATGAATAAAATAATTGAATATCTGCCTAACTCCCTCATGCAGATAACTACTGCTAACATTTTTGCATATCTCTTTCCTTTTGTTTCTTGTGCCTATTTGTGCAAGGTCAAGATATTATTGTCAACATCATTTAATATCCTTTTCTTTTCCCTTATTGTTGAGAGAATTCACTAGAAATAGTCCTAGATTATCTGTGCCCTGTTTTGACCTTTTTTTTTTTTTACCTCTGAAGCTGCAGCCAGACCCAATCAAGCTCTTCCTTACATAAACCAACCCAATAGCCTAGAATGTCAGTACTTCTGCAGAAACCTTTCTTGAAAGTCTTTTCATGGCCCAGCCAGACTTTTCCACGGAGGGAAAACAGGAACTTGTCCTGGCCCCCTTGAGCTTACCTAATAATCCACTGATGAGCTGTTCACAGTTCACCTTTCCACCTCACTATAGAAGACAGAGAACAGTGTCTCATGGTTGATGCTATCATTGGCTGATGTGTCCTGCAGAGGCACCGTGTCTTGCTGGGTTGTTATCAGCAGTGTTGGATGACAAGTAAAATCCTCTCAAACAGAATTTATTATCTTGTGCAGATGGTCCCCAATTCTCACCTTGTTCACAACCTCTGACCTCTAGTTACTTTTTCTAAATAGTGCTTCCTGGCTGGTACTCCAAGAAGCGGCACTGGCAATGCTGCATGGAATTGAAAGAGGTCTTGATAGCAGGACACATAGAGATGGTTGAATAAAGTAAAGAACTAATAACACCTATCCTGAAACCTTCTAGTCAGAAAGTGCACCCCTGATGTTTAACATCCAAACATTGAAGCTGATTTCCAACAGCATGGAGATGCCATCCTTGTCCATGCCTGCTCTGACAGTGAAGTCAGCAGCTCCCCAGGCCCAGGGTTTATTGGACTCCTTGCTCTTCACAATGGGATCTGAGGTGTGCCTGAGCAAGATCCTCTGTTAAAGCACGTAACTCTGGTGTAGATTTCTGGGCTTGGAAAATATATATGACGAATTTTACTTTTTTGACCATTTTCAGGTATGTAGTTCAAGGTAAAGT